CACACTCTAACACTCACACTAACACTCACTAGCAGACACACACTAACACTCACATACTAACACTCACTCTAACACACACACTAACACTCACTCTAACACTCACACACTAACACTCACTCTAACACACACACTAACACACACACCAACACTCACTCTAACACTCACTCCAACACTCACTCTAACACTCACATACTAACACTCACTATAACACACACACTAACACTCACTCTAACACACACACTAACACTCACTCTAACATTAACACATTTTTTTTTTTTTTATGTAATCCCCCCAGCCTCCTTACCTTTCGGAGTGCTGGGGATTATTCCTGGGGTCCAGTGGGGCTCCTGGGCGGGTGGCCGGTCGGGTAGGAAGGCGGGCGCGCGAGGGAGCACTCAGTGCTTCCTCTTCAGCTCCCTCGCGCACCGCACTGATACCGGAGCCGGAAGATGACGCCATCTTCCGCCTCCGGCATCCCTACGCGCGAGGGAGCTGAAGAGGAAGCACTGAGTGCTCCCTCGCGCGCCCGCCTGCCCGCATCGCCATCAAGTCAGTAGCAAATTCTGGGTGGTCGGCTCCTGGGCCCCCCAGGGGAAGAGGCTGGCCCTGTGGCTACATACCGGGTCACAGGGGCGGCCGGGCCCCCTTGTGGGCCGGGCCCGGTCGCAGTCGCGACCCCTGCGACCCTGGTATGTACGCCAGTGTATCTGGGGTAGCATGGCTTTAACAGTCCGTAGAAAGGCACGAATAAACCTTTCTGCAGGTAAAATAAAAGTTTAAAATGCAGGACCATAGTCTAAAGGGAGCAAGCGAGCAACCAGGCCTCTCCAGTGGACAGTGGCGAGGTTGGTTCCGCCACATGCTCTTTGCACCATAACCAGTCAGTGTTCTCTAGATCACCTCCCCAATGAAAGCAGTGAAGAAATTATCTAACGGTGCGTCCGTCAGTCACCAAATGTGCAAGGCTTAGCTCATTGGCTGCTTGCAATCCGCTGACACTGTAGCGATGTAGCAGCACAATAAGGCACTGCTTCTTTATGATTAAAAAAAACACAGTAGGGGCGGAGCCAGCTCTCGGCATGAACGGTCGCACTTCTCCTGCTCTCTGCCGACCGCAGCCCAAAACCGGACGAAAAAGACCCCAAAAGCCTTCCCTTCTGGTAACAGACGGCCTGCAACTACTCCCCCTGATATGGGAAGAAAGACCAAAAAGCCGCGGCCCGATCGCCCGCGATTTACGGCCGATATCGGCGATTTACTGAGGAGGCCGCATGGCGCGGCGGCGCCCAACATGGCGGCCGAATATGAGGATTTCTCAGAAAGCTCGGACGACACATCCCTCCACTGCCCTGAGACACTGGGGTACAAGGGACCTCCTAAACTCAAACAACAGCCGATGGGCTCCCCAATCACTACGGAGATTCTTACCTCTCTCCTGACTGACCTACGCCAGTCGCTCTCTGCAGAGATCTCCCAGGTAAGGGAGGATGTAAAGGGGTTCACTGATCGCCTCTCAGCAGTGGAGCAATCCACCCAGGCACAAACAGCACAAATAACAGAGCTGCAGAATCAGGTCAAAGACCTCTCCTCAGCCCACATCACACTCACCCACCAACTAGCAGCAATGGAAGACAAAAGGAGGTGGAAGCATGTTAAAATCAGAGGCCTCTCAGACGCAATTGCCCCAGCCGAACTTCCCCACCTACTCAGAAGGCTTTTCACAGCCCTCCTGTCCCCCAAACAAGCTAAAGGGGTGCAGCTAGATGGCATGTTCCGCTTGCCCAAGCCGACACAACTTGCAAATTCAGCGACAAGTGACCTTCTGGTCAAATTTCAAAATGGGCAAGACAAAACTGCCTTAATGGGCTCCATCAGGGGACAAAATCCATACCGCTTTGAGGACATGGACTTAACGTTCTATTCCGACCTCTCACGCACAACACTGCAATGGCGGAAATCTCTCCGACCACTTACAGCGGCATTGACGGCTAAGGGAGTGAAGTATCGCTGGGGACCATCACACATACTCCTCATCCAACACCAAGGCAAGGAATCTAAAGCGACAGACGTCGCAGAAATGGACACTGTCTTGACCGACATGGGACTACGGCCATCTTCAACCGCTACAACCTGGGATCCAACTAAAGTTGTCCCATTCGTTCCAGCATCCAGGGGAACGCTTGGAGAGCAGACTACCTGAACCGGGACTTTTGAGTTACTCTTGTTTTGCTTTTTGTTTTGTTTTAATGTTCTCCCTCTTATACACACCGCTGTAAACGTACAAGTTTACTCCCAGGGCATAGGCCCTATTGAGGGGTAACCCAGAAACCCCTACACACACATAGCAGGATTGCTATACGGCTTTTATTTGCCGCCGAACAGGGCAGAACCCGGACTAATTGGCTCCCTTTAATACCAAAACCCCCCCAGCTCCAACGCATTTACTCTACCACAAGATCACTAATTAGGAGCTGCACAAATACACTACCAGGTTGCACGTCAGTATCCTCTTTTATCCTCTCACTCACACGACAATCTAGGCCGTGCACAGCCCTCTCTGTCCACAAGGCCTTACGACCTTACACACGGCCTATAGCTGGAATTTCTAACTGATCCACAACACGGGCGTACTAACATACTCCCGCAGAACACAGGGTCCCATTTCACTTTTGACTCAAGAGGCACATAAGCATGCACCTTGCCTTCCACTGTAGGCATACTCCAGTCCATAAGCATATACGCCGACACTAACCATACGACCAGGATTGAAATTGCTCTTTTTCTATCCTATTTTCAGTGGCTGCATTATGTTGAATCTTTTATATAACCCTTTTAAAAAATTGTGCCGATACTCACATGCCATGCTATTGTTATACTATTCTATTGATTGCAGCTTGCTATAGCTGTCGTGGCTATTCAAGCGTATTGTTTATGTATGCACTACCAAAATAAAGAATTTATAAAAAAAAAAAAAAAAAAACACAGTAAAAATGAAAATCCAGCGCACTTGCTTATCTATTAAACAGTCATTTTAATGCTGAACAATTTTCAGTTTTATTAAAAACACCAAATCTAGGCAAAAAAATATAATGGGGGTTTAGTTACAGTATATGATCATACATTGCATAAGCCTGCCACAACGCCAATGTACCCCATCTTTGGCAGGTCCTACTCTGTCTGCTAAATGAGCTTCTCACTTGGGGAAATCCTTCCATCTCGAGGTCTCTGCAGTACAATGCTTAAATAGGATCCTGAGGTGAGGCACCTGTAACAGGGAGGGGTGCAAAACCCATGGAGCTGGCTAGACTCCTAAATATATACATATATGAGAAAATAAGGGTTTGGCTGCACTCACCTAAACATGCTAAATTAGGTGCTGCTGGGGCCACAAGTATTGCTGGTAGTAAAATGAAAATCCAGCCGCATTTATCTACTAAAATTAGAACACACTGACACAAAAAGTATATTTCCTAAAATAAATTTAGAAACTGCATCAGAATAGAACTTTTTCATTTTTATTTTTCAATGCACTTAAATTGGAAATCTTTTATACATATATACATTAATCAAAGGAAATCAGAGTGAATTAAAAAAATGTAAATATAAAATTAAGATGTTATCACTTGAAGTGTAACTTTTTTTTTCCAGTTACAATGTGTCCTAGCGTGGTGATCTTTTTAAGGAAGCATGTTACTGTGTTATAAAAAGCCACTTGGTGCAAAAATAGAAAGTCTATTTTTACGATCGTGGTTGAAACATCTTCTTGCTGTTAATAAGTCAACGCTTAATTTTTAGTTTTACAGAAAGCAGTTGCTATGAGTATTTTATTCTATGCGAGGTTTAGATGACCGTTCCCATTTACACTCATCAAACAACAATTGCTGTCATGGTTACCACTAATGCTACCATGATGAAACTTACAGCAAAATAACATTACAATGTAGTTGCATTTTATTTGCCATCAGCGAGACAAATATAATGGTAATGCTATTCCAAACCCCAACAGAAAGAGGCAAATGAGGTTATGGACAGGTCATCCTTAAAGCCAATCAGCATTGCCCCTGCCTGGCGGCACCCTGCGTATCCACCTAATTAGAGAGCCGCCTCTGAATGTAGTGTGTGCAGGTGGTGCAGTGTGTGGCTCTAGGGGATCTATTATGTGTGCAGTGGATCTAGTGTGTGCTTGGAGGACCCAGAGTGTGTATATGTGTTTGTAGGTGATCCAAAGATGTATACTGTTTGTGATGAGTGGAGCCTGTGTGTGTAAGGGGTGCAATATGTGTGTGAGGGGTGCAGTGTGTGTGACATGGTGAAGTGTGTGAACGGTGCTGTTTGTGTGAGAGGGGTGCAGTGTGTGTGTGTGTGTCTGTGCAGGAGGGATGCAATGTGTGTGTGTGTGTGTGTATGTGAGAAAGGGGTGCAATGTGTGCGAGTGATGAATGCAGTGTGTCTGTGTGAGGAGTGCAGTGTGTGTGTGAGGGGTGCAGTGTGTGTGTGTGAGGGGTGCAATGTGTGAGAGTGAGGAGTGCTGTGTGTGTGTAAGATGCATTGTGTGAGGGGTACTGTGTGTAAAGGGTGCAGTGTATGTGTGTGAGTTTTTTTAATTGGGATGCCATGACACACAGCTACCTTTCAAAACATTGTTCATCCTGCAGTACTATAAACGGCCATAGAGGGCAGGTGAGATAGAGGAGTTGGAGAAACAAACTTTACTAAGCAGTTTATATAGGCTTTTTTCTATGATAATGATGATTTATTAATGCCTTACATATGTCCAAATAGCAATATACAGATCTATACAATCAGTGGCGTACATTCCGGGGTCGCAGGGGTCGCGGCTGCGACCAGGCCCGGCCCACCAGGGGGCCCGGCCACCCTGTGAGCCGGTATGTACCCACTGTGGCCAGCCTCTTCTCCTGGGGGGCCCAGGAGTTGACCACCTCAGGGCCCCCCAAGGCTGGCCCTGATATCACCGGGCGGGCGGGCGGGCAGGCTGGCGAGCGCGCAAGGGAGCACTGTCCCCTGAGTGCTCCCTCTTCAGCTCCCTCGCGCACCGCATTGACACCGGAGCCGGAATATGACGTCATCTTCCGGCTCCAGCATCAGTACACGGTGCGCGAGGGAGCTGAAGAGGGAGCACTCAGGGGACACTGCTCCCTCGTGCGCCCGCCAGCCTGCCTGCTCACCGGGTGATACCACTAGACCGCAGGGAATCCCCTCAGCACTCCAAAAGGTAAGGAGGCTGGGGGATTAAATTTTTTTTTAAAAAATGTGTGTGTGTTAGTGTGTTAGCGTGTGTGTGTGTTAGTGTGTTAGTGTGTGTTAGTGTGTGTGTGTTAGTGTGTGTGTTAGTGTCAGTGAGTGTGTCGGTTATTGAGTGTGTGTCTGCTAGTGAGTGTCAGTGAGTGTGTTACTGTGTGTGTCTGTTACGGAGTGTGTTTGTGTGTGTCTGTTAGTGAGTCTGTTTGATGTCTGTTAGTGAGTGTGTGTTTGTCAGTGAGAGTGTATGTTTTGTAAGTGAGTGTGTATGTATGTGTCGCTGAGTGTGTCTCTGTCAGTAAATGTGTGTGTCTGTTAGCTAGTGTGTATGCATCTGTTCATGAGAGTGTGTGTGTGTGTCTTCAGCACTTACCTTTCTCCAGCGCAGGACTCCCTTGGCGCTGGGGGTCCCTCCGCCTCTCAGCTCCGAATGCGTATGCGCGGCAAGAGCTGCGCACGCATTCAAACCGCCCGTAGGAAAGCATTACTCAATGTTTTCCTATGGACGTTCAGTGTCTTAGAATCGCGGAAGCGATGAGACAGCCACTAGAGGCTGGATTAACCCTCAGTGAAACATAGCAGTTTCACTGAAACTGCTATGTTTTCAGCTGCAGGGTTAAAACTAGAGGGACCTGGCACCCAGACCACTTCATTGAGCTGATGTGATCTGGGTGTCTGTAGTGGTCCTTTAAGTGTGTGTGCATCTGCATGCACTGGCGTACATACCGCGGTTGCAGGGGTCGCAGCCCTGCAACCCCTGCGACCAGGAGCCCGCCACCATGTGTTGCAGCCCCGGCCCGCGCAGAGTAAGCGTGGGGGGGCCACGGATCAATTTTCATGTGTACGCCACTGTATACAATAATGTATGATATTATAATAAAATAAATAACAACAATAACAAAAAAAAGGTAAAGACAGCTCTGCTCATATGAGCAGATGTAATATATTTATTATGTTTACCATACACTATACTATGTGTTTGTGCTAAAAAGAGTTAGAATTAAAGCTGTATTGACTCTAAGCCACTAGTTAAGGAGTCAAATTTGTCTCTCACATCTCTGAACACATTAAAGGGACAATGTAGGCACAATAACTACTTTGCCTGACTTAATTAGCTATAGTGCTACATTCAGTGTTTAACCATGATCAAGCAGTATAGCAACAAATTAAGGTATTTAGCCTCCCACAGCACAGCCCTACTGGAGATATGGCTAAGACATACCAATTTATACCAGCAATTGGCACTGTGATAGGTTGAATCACAGCCACCCATTGCTGCTCAGTCTAATGTTTCTCCATTAGTTCATTAGTCCAAGTAGCACGGGTCTCTGGCCAGTTGGAGGAGGGTATTACATTAAATAAACTGAGGGGACATCCTAATGTCATCTTTTTGCCCACCCATGTCCAGCTTGCAGGGGTTATTAAACTAAATTAATGGGGCAAACAACATAGTTATGGGGCAGGAGATGGACAGTGATCTTTCCACCCAGTACTGTTTAATTTAAATCTCCCACCAATGTCTTTGGGTGGTGGCAAAGGGGGATACTACATTATCATGCCCCATATCTTTTATTACATTGAGTTGCCACTGACTGTTTGCATGGCATATGGGTGCCTAAGAGGGGTTTATAACCTCCCTTAAGGTAATATGGGTTCATACTACTTTAAGACTTTTCAAATACTTTTTTTCTGGCTTGCAAGCACTTTCCAACTGCTACATTAACCCTCTCTGCCAGTGGGCAAATAGTACTTAAAATGATTATTTACTTGCAAAAGGCAAGCGAGTGATAATTTGGGAACATCCACTGGATGCATTCGGTCCCAATTTCTTTTTTTAAACCAGTGCTTTATAAATATTTTGATTATGTGAGAGCACTGATTTTAATGCAGACACCAAATTAATCTGACCAGTTGCTACAGATTCAATCGAACTGACTGGATTTGCCTTAAAGGACCACTATAGTGCCAGGAAAACATACTCGTTTTTCTGGCACTATAGTGCCCTGAGGGTGCCCCCACCCTCAGCATCCCCCTCCCGCCCGGCTCTGGAAGGGGGAAAGGGGTAAAAACTTACCTTTTTCCAGCGCGGGGTGGGGAGCTCTCCTCCTCCTCCCCGTCAGCTGAATGCGCATGCGCGGCAAGAGTTGCGCGCGCACTCAGCCGGTCGCATAGGAAAGCATTATCAATGCTTTCCTATGGACGCTTGCGTGTTCTCACTGTGATTTTCACTGTGAGAATCACGCAAGCGCCTCTAACGGCTGTCAATGAGACAGCCGCTAGAGGCTTTGGGGGAAGGCTTAACCCATTCATAAACATAGCAGTTTCTCTGAAATTGCTATGTTTATAAAAGAATGGGTTAACCCCAGAAGGACCTGGCACCCAGACCACTTCATTAAGCTGAAGTGGTCTGGGTGCCTAGAGTGGTCCTTTAAGTTAATATGGGAATTACCATTCCATTTGGAATCCTGCCATTTTCAATAGATTTTGTCCTTCTGGAGTTTAGGGAGAGGGAGCCCAGCAGGGAAGATCACTACAGTACAGGATGGCTAAGAAGCCACTCAGCCAACACACTGGTCCCAGACAGAGGCAGCCTTCCAGGTGTCACCCACTCTGATTGAGTCACCCGATGCACTGCCCAGATCCCCCTTATGTGTTAATCTATTGTTCACTGTTGGTGTACGTTGTTTCAATCATATGATGGCAGTTTGTTGGTGATATGGATTCAAGGAATGTTATGTTTTTTTAATGGATCCAATTAAAGGATATATTTTAACATTATTGCTGCCTACACTATATGGATTTAACTGTTTAATCACTTATTTTTTATATAAATATTGATTTTCATGTAAGTTACAGATACCGTTCCAATGAATCACACATAGCAACGACAGGTCACCCAGAGCATGCCCTTCAATGTCCAATATGCTGATTTTGTAACATTTATAGTGCCCTGTATGTACAGTTTATAAATCTGGGAGAGTTGGTAAGAGTACAATCATTATTGACTCTGCAGACATAGTTGTTGGTGCTGCATTATTCAGGGCTCAAAACATAAAGCAGTGAACAGAGGTAACAACAGGAGATTTTCCTTGATCACTAAAACAATAACTGGGGAGAACAACTGTTGGTTAAAAAAAAATATGCAGACGGCATATCATAAGAATGAGCGTTACTTTTGTTCTCTTCTGTCTACCGCGATAAATACGAAAGTATCTTCCTGATTCATAGGGAAAAACAAACAAAAACAAAACAAAAAGTAACTCTTTATTGTTGTTAGACTCCAGTAGTTGGAAAATCCCATTATAGACCAAAATGGATTTATCAGTTTATCACCATTGTTTAATGCATGTGGTAGATAATTCATCCATAACTCATTTCAATAAAAAATAACAAAACAGAATTTAAAAAAAAAGTTTTAAAAAAGATAAGACTTTAAAAATAAGTACATACTTCAGATTGTGCAGGTATGGGGTCACACAATCACATGCTCACCTAGTTTTCTGGTGTCTTCAAGTCAATGGAGACGAACGCACTTGAACGCCAAAATCATGGCAGCTTCTTCGCTAACTTGAAATAATGAATGGAATGCAGCGGTTTCTGTTATCTTTAATGACCATTAATTCACTATTTAAAGTTAATTAGTGGTGGTTTTGTATTACACATGCATATTTTTCATATATTCAATAAACTGTTGATTATTGGGAATTGGGTAGAAAACAGCACATTTTAGTCTAAAAAAGCCAAACAGGAAAAAAAAATTGAGTATTAGAATTTTTCCAGTTTAGTTATTTAGACTAGCATATAGCAATCCACAGTTTAGAGAATAACCCTGAAAATTGTAATAGGAAGTGTTGTCTCCAAAGATTTGGACTGTGCAGAGGTTTCTGGGAAATGCTAACTGTGTTTCCTAGCTTGACTTTTATGTTCAGTTGGAAGACAAATACAAAGGGTCAGAGGCGGATGATTTACTGTAAAACCAAGGTTGATATTTTGCACAATGCTTGTCCAGTTACATATTTCCTCCTTCGAATGCCAGGAGTGTCTTTATTATACTTACTGAAAAATACTTTAAATATAAAGGTTTTACTATGTAGCACTTTGTTTTCAAACTCTACTGGAAATTTTTTTTTTTTAGAATACACAGGGCTTTGTGAATTCCCATCCTCCGCCTCCTCTTTGCTTTCGGCCTGCTGTCTATACTTTGCAAGTAATAATATTTATCCACCCCAGCTCCACTCTTCAAGAATCTTCTTAGTTAAGACCAAGAAAACGAGTCACTGTTTTGGGGGCTACCAGTGTTGACAGGATCTAAGATCCATTAATAAAATATAAAGCACAAACACTGGATTTGCAGGGGATCAATATTGTTATTTAAAAGATATATTGCAGTAGTTATCAGTGCCTCTCCTATTTGTTGTGCTAAGCACCGTTTGCATAAGTGCTTGCTTATACTAAGGAAAATGCAGTCTATGTACACACATCTATAAACACACTTGCAGATCTCCATAAACATGCATTAGCTCGCAAATACAGACGCACACACCAATATATAAACAGTCATTAAAATATAATTATCAACAAACACCGTATGGCAGCCCAGAAATGAAAATTAACCCCATCATGGCATACAATTTGCAAAAGTAGACAATGCAAGGTATTCACAATGGGGTGTATCCGGCGTTTTTAAGTAGCCACTTAGCCACAAACCCTAGCCACATTTAACGTAATTATTTTTATTTTGCATTTTTCACAAAAAAACTGGCCTTTGATGATATCATGAGCATTATACGTTTTATTGCTATAAAACACTCATATTTGTGTTCAGCGATGTCTCACTAGTAAATCAGTAACCTGCATGTACAGGTTTTATAGTGTTTTGGAAAGTAACAGGATCAAATATTATATTG